TTAACGCTGTTTATAATGTTAAGCGTAAGAAACCCCAAGAACTTTATTATTTATAAGCCTGCTTTTCCAAACTTACTGTGAGAGTAAATAAAGATAACCGAAGACCACTTTCTTCGCAAGTCATCCAGTCATTCTATACTCCTAACGCAGTTATTTAAGAGAGAGACCTGCTGGAACGTAACGGAAATGAGGTTAACCAGTCAAAGGAAATTCATGTCAGGAAGAAAAGAGAATTTAATGAAACCTTGGACTTCAAGGAAAGAACAGACATTTAATCTTATCGATTCAAAGGGTACCAAATGATACAGAATCATCAAATGACGTACAGTTAGATATCAAGGAGAAATATACGACATTCTTGCTATAATTATTTGTGCAGTGTAAAAAAGTAACATTGAATGTGAAAGGCTAATAAACACTGTACCAAGTTTCGATCCCATGACCACCCGCACATGAGTCTAGTACGTTTCCACTAGGCTAAATCACGTTCTACTTCATTATTACAAACGTCCATTTTAAATAAATACTCCGAGCCCCTTTGAAATACTGTTTATGCATTGGATTAGTTTACTGTAGTTTCCTGTCGGATCCAGGACCAATTGTAATGGAAACATCTCAAGAATGCAAGTACGAACTGCATTTCTCCAGTTTCCTTGTTTACTACTTGCTATAATATTTCGTAACCTGTCACAAATATTTTCATGAACACTCTCATGAACTAGGAAAACAGAAATTCGAATAAAGTTAATTACAATGGAAGATATTAAGAGATCGTATCAAAGCCTTCTGCACACAGCTGCTGCGCTGAAATTTATGACATATTATTTAGAAAATATATAAAATGAATCTCCGTGCAATTGGTTTTTAAACAACTGCATATTCATACATCTCAGATAACTCTGAACATTGCTCCTGGAACTAGCAACTCTTGGAATATTACATATAATAACCAGATTTTAAGATGCAGAAATCAGAGACGATAAAGTTTACGGTAAGTTAAACATTCAACATTCAATAATTTCCATTTTGTCAAAAAGCACATTTTTTATAAAATACAAGTATCTGCTAAAAGACAGTTTTACAGTATAATTAGATTTCTATACGAAGTGTTCCTAACAGAATTACACAATTTATAATACGGAATTTAAACCCTACAAGTCAGTTGCTCACCGTTATAAACCACGCCACAAAGCTAACTGTGGCCATACTGAACACCTACTCTTTATTCGCTAATTCACTAAGTGCCAATGTTGACGACTGTAGTGGTTTAGTGTATTGAAATTACTCAATTATTCACTAAATGTGTGTACAAAATTCTGGTACACTTTTGATCTCAAATATACACTGCTGAATCTCCAGGGAATACTTTCATATTTTATAGTAAATAGAGATATAAATTTTTATTATTTTCTGTCCAAATTTATTTGAGAGATGTTAATGCTCTATATAACCTTTTTTTCCGAATCATATAAACCAGAGGTCACCATCTACATTCATGTTTTCTTGTTTTCTGCAAAGGCTCTACATTTTGACTTTCATCGAAAGAGTAGAAAATCTTATTCTTCTTAGAAATTTTGCGTTATTTCCTGTTGGTCCCTCACGTAACATTCGACCCTCCACAAAATGAGCACAAACCACAAATAACGTTTTCAAAATCAGTGACGTCATTACTAATCATTTGCTTTCAATAACTCCTTCACTGCTTACGAACAATCTGTCGTGCATAAAATTTTGTCTTTATAATTTTACATTTGTTACTCCGAATGTAGTCATTTGTATTGTTTATATTTGTAATTATGCTTCATTTGTAACCTTTTATATGCTTTAAATCACATATTTCTTTCTGTGTGATAGAATTTATCCGACTTTCGTGTTAATGATGAAGGCAAT